TTATTGTTCTCGCCCATTCACATTTGGTTCAGCACAAGTTAACCTCAAAGTTTGATTTGCTCTGGTCTAACAGTGCTTTAATGATTACGTGATCGATTGATTGATTTTTATTTATTTATGTATTTACTTATTTTTTGGCTTCTATAAGATATTAACGAATGCGTGACCAACACCACCAAGTGCCATGTCAACGCCCATTGCAGTAACACTGAGGGATCGTATCATTGCACCTGTAATCGAGGATATAGCGGAAATGGAACGTCGTGTACTGGTAACCATGTTTACTTATTGATTTATTGATTTATTGATTTATTTATTTTTGGTATTCCTTGCAAGGCAATCCAAAAGTATAAGCTCATATCGTGACAATTTATTCGATGAGGCACTATTTTGTTAGGAAGGTTGCTATCCAACTTATACTGTCTGATTTATTGGCTTTCTCTTTATATGATCTCTAAAGGGCTGATTACAGCTTCTATCATTAGCGTTTTCCACTGACATTCTGTTTTGTTTACGAAAACCCGCTAATTGTAATCTTTACATCAAACAAAGAGGCTTATAAATAGATACGACGAGCGCGGATTGACTAACGAAGAGGTTAATTCTCAGTAATTTCAGAATGGGCATTGAATGGTTTATCCAGCATCTATAGAGAACGATTAAAAAAATTACGTACTACATAATTAAACTAGATAATTCATAAAGCAACCAGGAATTTTATGCCCTTTTGCCTCGGACAATGGATTTGAGGAACAAATTCGGTTGAGACCTGGGTTCTCTGAGCAAATTCTCTCCTAACAAATTGGCATCAGCCAGCCTCGACCCCATCAATCTCATTATACTGTGCTACACCTTTGACGGAAACACAGTATTCTGATTTTATATTCTCTGTTTTCAAGTCCTGCTTGTCTTAAGATGTTTCATTGCTATTTGATATCACTATTAAAGGTATTATCAAGCGTATAGTCAATTGCTTCAGTCGCTCCCATGACATATCTCAAATAGGGCAGCTTTACACATCTTTACATCATCCTCAGCCCTTTCGAGTTCCCCTACCATCTCTATTCGGTGACTGTAATATATCGATTTAGCCAAGGCTAAAGCAAGAAACTTGTAACCATGCATGTATCCATTAGGAGTTAAGCCCGGGATCATTAAAAAATAACTTGTCAGCGGATAACTTCAAAAAACACAATGTCGATGAGTCGACACCAGAGCCCGCGATACGGTCATGTGATACTGGTCAGTGGGTACCCTGTGATTGACCACAACATGCATGTGCAATATCAGGTTCCAGGCTCCCACTCTAGCCACAAAGTGTGACATTTCACATTGGTTTCCCTGTGGTGCGGACGGACTGGCGGATGGACAGTCACTTATCATGGATAGATTAGCAAATACTCTCCACTGTGGGGCTGCGCTCGCGTTAAGCACTGCTATAACTGCCTGAAATTAAAAGGATTTTACCCGTTTGCAGATATTGACGAGTGTACAACCAACATTGATTCATGTGATGTGCATGCTTCTTGTAACAATACCATTGGGTCTCATAACTGCACCTGTAATTCTGGGTTCTATGGAAGTGGACAAGAGTGCCTTGGTAAATTAAAATCAATTGATAATACTTTTCTTTGTTTCATTGTTTGAAGTTCATTCTGTAGTCGAGCCTCCAGGTGCGACCCCCTCTCGTTGGCAACCACTTATCCAAAACCCCAAAATTTCCCACTGAAATTACTAATAGTTGGAACCTCTCGCAAACGACCGCGACCACTTTTTGAGGAGACAAGTTTTAAAATTTTCCACTGTATTTAATAAAATCTTGTAGGAGACTAGTTGACGCATGGACTGATCTCTATGTTTTCTGTATGAACTGCACTGCTCAGAGTATACGAAAAAAATTTAGTGACAACACGGAGCTTAAGAAAGAAGAAATTGTATGCAGTAAATTCTCTTTCAATAAGTATGTGTGTCAGGACTTCAGCTCAGAAAAGTCTCCCATATCGTTCGATTCTCGTAAAGCGACCACCCTCCGTATGATACCTCTGAATTTTCGCATTTTGGGTGGCTGCTTACGGGAGGTTCGACTGTATTACGTGCTTTTCCTTTGTTGGTCTTCTTTACGTACTTCCAGCCAGTTAAAAATTTGCTGGCGCGCAGACGTCCATTCCGCGAAACATGAGCAAGGAGAGACGGTTGCATTCCAAGGCTTTGACAGAGTAGAAAAGAGGGCAATAGCTAGCAATAAACGCCGCAATTACATCATCGCTGTATCAACATTTTGTGCTAATTATGTCCTTTCTCTGTCTCAAATATGTGAATTACAATATGGTTTTGTTCGACTATCAGATATCAACGAGTGTACAACCAACGTCCATACATGTGATGCCAATGCCGTCTGCAATAACACTCAGGGGTCTTATAACTGCACATGCAGCCCTGGATACACTGGAAATGGAACATTATGCAATGGTTATTATCAAAGATACTTAGCAAATTTACCTCTAATTAAGGGCCATGTCACCATTGGTCGGTTCTGGGTTGAAATCATTGCTCAGTGCCTTCACCTAAACACAACATTTTCTTGTAGAGTTATGAAGAAAATATCGAATTTTGTCAGGGAGCACTGACTGTTACCATTTTGGGAGTGATTTTTGCATTATAAATTATTTCAAGTTTCAAGTATCAATCCTTGCCATTCGTAGCAACAGACGACAGGAAATAATTTCAATACCTAAATATAGCCTTATTTGACAAAACTGGACCATTACCATTTCCGAGTTCCAAAAAACTCTCACTTTCAAAACGAGGCTAAGTGCAAAGCCTTTCTTGTGAAAATGAGTTTTATTTGCATGGGGAAAAACCATTTCCATATCAATGGCTTCGTACTTAGCCTCCGACTTTGAAGCAGAAGCTTAAACAGAACTCAGAAATGGCCAGTTGCTGAAAAGACACGTTTTAGCAGTTTAAAAAAAATGGCAAAAGGCCCTTAAAATCTTTAACATTTTTATAATCTTGTTGATTATAAAAAGACTACCGTAAATCTTCTCTAAATCTCCCCGTCTCAAATAAGCCCCCTCCCTTTCCTTTGAACGGGAAGAAAGTTAAAAATCCCCCTCTCTATTAAGGCCCCCTCCCAAACCTCCCCTCCCCTAATTATTCTTCACTAACAAAAGATAGACAGTATTAATCAATCACGACTGTGAAACTTCGTGTAGACTGATCCGGGATGGTTTATTTACCAACTGGAAGTTCGGATTTGATTCTGATCCTCGGCTGCATGACCTCCAACCTTCTTGTACTCAGGCTTTTCCACTTTGTTTTCTACTTATTTATGGAGAACTGATACCATCGTCCTTTCTAAATTAAATAAGCCTCCTTCTCAAATAAGCCTCCCGTCTCTATTAAGCCCCCTCCCTCCTCAAATGGGCTTGAAATAAATAAGGCCCCCAAGAGGGGGGGAGGGTGGTCTTAATAGAGGATTTACGGTAAGTTTAAACATCAAACACCTTTCCCTCTCTCTGTGAAAAAAGGCTTTGAAACTGGAAAAGGGTAAAGTCCTTGGTGTCTCCATGACAACAGTAATAACAATTGCTGAAAAAAGGATACTTTAAGAGGCTAAACCACGACTGGCTAATTTATTTGATCCTGAACAGATCGTTATACGTTTGAGGGAAATCACCCACCTATCCCTCCCCTAAGTCAACATTTTGCCCTAATTGAGAAGTAAGTGTTAATGTTGGCTTAAGGGAGGGCCAGGTGGGCAGTTTCCCGGAAACGTATTATGATTTTGTCTATAATGTCAGTTACACTCCTTATTCGCTGTCAGATATGACTAATAACTTCTAAATGACAGAATCACATTCTATCAAACGGTAGAAAACAAATTTTAACAAATGCATTCTTGAAAAAAACTGTTAGCCTGACAAGTTTTCAAAAACCACCATTGCAATCCGCTTGATCAAGTTTTTACATCCCTGCTAACTTTCAGATTTGCATTTGCTGTTTTATAAATACCATATTTTAACGTTTTGATCGGTTATTTTTGCTGCATTCAATTTGGTGATGGTTCCCACTGTTTCAGTGTTGATGCTTTATGTGACATATCCCCTTTTAATTCCTCCAGATATTGACGAGTGTTCAACCAACAATCACTCATGTGATGTCAACGCTTTTTGTAACAACACAAGTGGATCCTATCGATGTACTTGCAGGTCAGGTTACTTTGGAGATGGAAAAGTGTGCAGGGGTAAAAATCATTTCGTTTGTTTTACCATGCGTCTGTTTTGTCTTGTAATGTTTCTCGCGACACGCATATTTTTCTCACTCATTGTAACAAACCATTTTTTCTTTAAAAGATGTAAACGAATGCGCAAACAACACCCACAGCTGTGATGTTAATGCATATTGCAATAACACCGAGGGATCGTTTTTCTGCTCCTGTAATCGAGGATATAGCGGAAATGGAACATATTGTACAGGTAAATGTTAAACAATTATTTCAATTCATACTCTGATTTCTGCATCTTATTGGCCACAACCCTAACTGGCTATTATCGTACTATCAATTCATCCCGATTTATTTGTTTATTTATTTTTGTTTTTTAATAGCGCGAACGATTTAAAAATGTGCAATTTACAAGCCTAAAAGGTTCGAACAAGCATTCCGGCCTGTTTCATAGACATGACCCCCCTCCCCCCAATTCAACTCTTCTCGGAGATTGCATTGCAAACCTCTATATTAAGTGATATCGCCTTTGGTTTTGATATTCAGTCCTCTGCTGGCAAAACAGCAAAGCTAAAATACAGACAAATGGCAATTAATTATGGGTTCATCCTACCCCCTTTCTGTCTTTGTATTTGCCAATATGTTAACCTGATAAATAAAACCTTAAGTTTTTTCTTTTTAGAACTTAAGATATTAACGAGTGTACCAGTAAATCGCTCAAGTGCACCAAACGGTTGTATATTAAGTTTAATAGCAACATTCAGTATTTACACACATGACATCAGGCCTTTTTCGCCTTTCAGATATTAACGAGTGTACTATTAGCGTCGATAACTGTGATGCCAATGCTTTCTGTAATAACACTGGTGGATCTTTTGACTGCATCTGCAGTCCAGGATACACTGGAAATGGAACATCATGCACCGGTAAATCATGTTCAAGTCATATAAAACTATATAATGAACTCCAAAACAGAAGCACCCCATTATATACATACAACGTTGCTCGTCTCTCCACTTTCTCTCCTTATTACTCTATTCATAATAGCCTGCCTGCAAAAATAACAGCTGCTTTCTCTCCTTCCAGATATTAATGAATGTGTGACTAACGTCCATAACTGTGATACCAATGCTTTCTGCAATAACACTCAGGGGTTTTATAACTGCACATGCAGCCCTGGATACACTGGAAATGGAACATCATGCAACGGTTATTTTCAAAATTTTTTGTTTGTTTTTTCGTTTTGTTTTTTATTCACTTTCGTTTTAAACTTACCGTAGGTTAAAATCACCAACTTGTATGATTTGTGTTTTGGGGGGGAAATGTTGTTTATTGCCTTGGTATTTTCTTCTTTCAACTGAAAATGAAGAGGGAAATTAGAAGAAATCAATGCCACAACCCAAGAAACAGTTATCCACAAACGTCATTTAAACTGAATATGTCGAAAATCAGGCCATTTTTAGCGCAGAATGAGCTTCCCTATCTGTTTTTCTAACCCTCATTTATATATTTGTTTTCAGCCTTTTTCTCCTTCACAACCGACGGACGCATCGGAAATCATGGCATTATTCAAAATTTTACAGTTCCGAAGACCGGTGTGTATCTGGTAAAAGCCTGGGGTGCTCGAGGAGGAACACATGCACCAACCTATGGAATAACCCCGGGGACATATCACGGTGGCAGAGGGGCAATTAAGGAAGGCATGTTTCGTTTGAATGAGAGCACTGTACTGAATATTGTGGTGGGACAAAAAGGTGGAGATTCAGTGCAGGTTCAAGGAGGAAATTCCACTAACTTGACAGCCGCTCAGCTGGGACTGTCTGTAGAGGACAATGCTGGTACTGGGGGAGGGGGAGGGAGCTTTGTTTATACGACAAGTAATGTACTTTTGTTAGCTGCCGGAGGGGGAGGGGGTGCATCCAATGGTTATAACGGAGTGGATGGTCAGGCATGTAGTCATGGTACCAGCTCTGTTGGAAAATTCCCAGCTCATCTTCGAGGAGGAGGAGTTGGAGGGCAACCCGGTCTTTGTAATTCTGGGGGATTACACAGCGGGGGAGTCGGGGCCGGTTGGTTTGGTCCTGGATGTCTCGTATCGGGTTCTGTACATGGCGAAAGGGGCGGGTCACGCCCTGAAGTCTGGGTCGGAGGAAGAGCTGGGGAAAAGAATAGTGGTTACAACGGAGGGCCTCCTCCAGGGGCAGTAGGAGGGTTTGGCGGTGGGGGAGGGGGAGCCGAAGATGGTGGTGCATCTGGAGGGGGAGGAGGTTACTCTGGGGGAGGAAGCGGCGTGTTTTCTTTTCAGGCAGGAGGGGGTGGGGGTTCGTTTTGTGGTGGCTTAAATGGAAGTTGTTCAGGTGTTTCCGGTGGTAACCTGAATGACAATGGGCTAGTACAAATCACACAATTGTAAGGCTTTACTCACTATGCTTGTAGATCCTTTTTTTCACTTTCTCGATTTTGGCATACTGGAGAAAGACTTTGCTTGAATTTGATATTAGTTGAGCATGCACTGTATGTTGCTAGGATACAGTTTCGAACCCAGTCCTAAAAGCTTTGCGCGCGACACAGCTGCAATCTTGGACAAAAATGTTAAGTAAAATGCACCTTGTATGTCTAATTTGAGAATACGTCCCTCTAAAGCCCCGTTCACTTAAGGTACTTCCCCCTTCCCCCTCTTCGTAAAAAAAATGTTGAAGTTTGGCCGGAACATTTTTGCTCCCGACTAAACAACATTGACCAGGGAAATGTGAGGGAAGGGGTCATCATGGTGCCAAATTCGCAGGGCGAGTCTCCTTTGAGTAAGAAAGTGCAAAATTCTTAACACGTTTTGTCCTAGATTGTGGCTCAGTTACCACCACGGGTTTATTACTAAACGAATGCTCGCACTCGCGAAACAAGATTGACACGAGCAAACGTGATTGATAAGTCGGTAAGTTCGGGCTTCGTCGACTGCAATGACTCACCGTGGTTCAAGCAGAGCTTCTACTCCCCACCTGAAGAAGAGAAATGGAGGTCATTGCTTCATGGTAGGGCTTTACTGTTACGTTATGTGAGACGTTTTTGTTGTTGTTGTTGTTCTTCTTCTTCTTCTTCTTCTTCTTCTTCTTTTCTTAGTTGGTCGTTAGAGGTCAGTTTAAAAATCGTACAAAATTTACATGGACATAATGTTACCATTCAAACTACTCAGAAAAAAAGTTTTGTATGGTAAAATTTTTTTCTTATAGTCGATTTGACAGAAAAATAAAAACAAAATTTGAATTTTCTTCTGAACTTTCTTTAACTTTATTGTTGTTTTTGTCTCTCTAAAAGTTCGGGTGGTCATGCGATTTACCGCCAAAACGCGCGGTTGCTTGAAATGTGATGTTTCGCCCCGGCTTACATGAATGGCTTACGTCTGTACGGACGATTCTGTCAGATCCAAAATTTCTTGGATGCATACTAGATAACCAAATTTTCTCACCGATGGTGCTCCACTGTGTGCGGCGCCCAAGAGCTTCGCTTAATTGCTGTCTTTACAGAAATGAGACACTTAACAGCAACATAAGAGGAAATTAATGAGCTGGTATTGGAAGTGTACAAATGTAAACTGGGAGAATTGGCTGAAAGAGCGCAATGGTTTATAGCTTCTCCGGGACAAACAAGTTTCATTTGTCTGACAGATCAAAATATCCTTCAAATTGACGATATCTAAACCTTATTTTACTGATTTGCAGACTGAGTCGTGTCTAACATCGCGAAGCCGTAACATTTGAACGTTTCGTTTTAAACAAATTGAACAATAGGCAGTGACACATGCTGTACCTCAATCTCTCATAGGGGAAATATCAGTATCTCCTTGAGCTTTTCATACATACAAAGCACTCGATCGGTCTCATGTAAGGGGCTCTTTACATGGAGGGAGCAGGAACCTGCTAGTACCATAAAAATTCTAGAAGGCAGCACAACTTTTCGTTAAACCGGTATTTTGCACCCACTGAAGAACCTATTTTTGGCTCATCCTCGATGTCGATGAACCTGCGTAACTTACGAGTGACGTAAAACAATCGATACAAAGAAACCACTCAGAAGTCAATACGATAGAGCGAAGGAAAATAGTGAGAAACTCATCAAAGTCTAACTAGTGCACCCTATTCAGTAAATATTCGATACAAATTGAATAAATTCAGAGCACCTATGAAGAAAAAAAATGCTCCACTATAAGGCTCACTCAGAAGGTATATGAGAGAGATTTCTATAGCCATGTTTTTGCAAATCCAGTCAGATATTTAACAATTATTCCTTAAGCCCAAATGGGCTCTGAGTCAATAGCCTATGAGGTCGAAGGGCGAGAGGAATAATTGTTTTAGTAAAATCCAACTAGTTGGTCAAAAATATCGAGACAAAACAACTTTAGCTAGGAAAACGCGATTCAGCCGCCATTGTTTTGGCTTTCAAAGCCGGCGCTTTTCGCTATTAGTGGGCTATAACATATAGCCTAGTACCAGCTCAACTAATCAAAACGCAGCATTGATAATAGACCACTGGCTGGATTAATTTATATCATATATATTTGATTTTTTAGGGTTAAAACGTAATTGATTTAAAAATATCATACGACTATCTCGTGACTTTAAGTTAAGTTATATATATAATTAAGTTATATTTAAATGTGCTCCCGTGCGTAAAACCACGATTAAAAAGCAAATTATCCCTCTTACTGTGGGGTCTGAAAACACCCTTTTTATTAAACTGTCTCTTTTTATACTCTGGCTGCGGGCTGTGAAACCACGATTTTGACCCTTAAGAAAATGACAGTGAGAAATCTGCATTACAGCACCAGTAGTTATTATCTCCTAGGAAATTTAAATGCCATGCATGTTTACGCCAGTTCTTCACCGTGTTACTGCGTATTCTTGCATTTCTTCCGTTCAGTTTTAGTCAGAAATTGCCATGCCAAAGAGATTTTTTTTAGATCACCATTGCCAAAGCAGCCTCGTTTCTAGATTGATTGAATGAGTGATTGGAGTAATATATATATATCAAGCTTTTGCCTTCCTGTTACTTCTTTACGCAGCCTTTTTTATAACTTAATTTGGGCATCGAAGTATCCCACAAACTTGAATCGTATTGTTCTACGTCAGAAAAAAAAAAATTCGAATTATTTCCAAGACGCCATTTGATGCTCACACCGATCCTAAATTCAAACGTTTGCAAATACTGAAATTATCTCAAATTTACTTTTTTCAAGTTGGAAAGTTCATGTATTCTTATTAAGTAGGCCTGCTTCCTAATGTATTTAAAGAAATGTTTTTAATGACAAATCAAGTTTATTCCCATAATACCAGAAATTCAAATACTTTCTACTTTACACATTATGTATTATGCACTAATTCGATTGCCTTCTTTTGTTTACCCCTTGCTATATTAGGGGCACCCAACGTCAGTTTTGGGAAAATATCTGTTCGGGAGACGATTTGAAATCTAGAATTTTCGGAACATTTGTTTTAAAATTTCTTGCTTGCCTGCCTCTTCTAGGATTTTTGAACATCTAAAAAATCATATAATTGCCCATGTTTTTAACGTATTTTTACCCTGAGGTCACCAAGAATTTTCGGGAGCCTTTTTTCTGGCTGAAATTTCGAAAAGGTCAGTTTTGATCCCCATAATTTTTCGATCACTAGTAAGACTAGGAAATCAGAACAGATGAAAAATTTTTAGGGGATAAAAAATATGCCTATATCTGCCCTTTAAATACTAGAGTAGGTTTAACAATGCTATGTTTAAGTGGTTTCGAACTATTTTCTCGGAGGCTGTCCCTGCTGTATTGCACTTACTATTTGTTCGTACTTGTCTCACTGTTCAAGTAAAATCACTTTATCATGACGCATGGGCTATCATCATGCATCTTTACGCCGGCTCAAGATCTTACATCCTTATAACGAACGTAGAAGCTGAGGACTTAAATAAATGTTTCTTGAAATCAGCCGTAGACAATCCTGTCTGCAATGCAAACAAAGCAAGAGGTTATTTTTAAGAGCAAGAGGTTATTCTTAGTGCGAAAAAAAGGGGGCTCCTGCGAAGCGTTTGCGTGTGTTAAAAGTGGGAGAATGCCTGGGGCCAACAACAGAACGGAATATTTTAAATAGATTGTATAAGTTTAATATCCCTGAAAAAGTGGGATATTATTTGTCAGTAGTGGCAGTGGAAACAAGTTGACTGCTTCAGAGTCTGGGCTGATAAAAGTGAACGAGGGAGAACATGAGTGACCCCACGATAGAGAGTCCAAGTCGTGAAAATGACCGGCGAATACTGATCATGTTAACTGTCTTCATCTGTCTTATTGCCGTTGTCATTTTGGTTATTGCTGCTATAATGTTGTCATTGATAATATCTCGAAATAATGATGTTGATGATGATGCTAAAGGATCAAAACTTGACGCCGCGGTGCAGGGTAAGGAAACGTTACAACTTTTTAAAAGTCCGGCTGTCTACTCGTAACACCCTCAACTAGCGATTAAAGGCTTCTAAACTTGCCCTGTCATATCTCGGTTTAGTCCGCTCTTAGAACTTTTTCAAGAGCCCGCGCACTTGTTTTGCAGTAGGTATCTCAGCTAGGGTAAGTTTAAAAGACAAATTTGTTTCCCGGGGAATTTTACATTTTGTTTCAGTATTTTTGCATTCCTGATTCGGCAGGGGCACTCAACGACTGTTTCCTGTAAAATATCTGTTCGCAGAAGCAAATATTGCCTAGAATATTCTATTGCTTGAATGAGTACGGCTAAAAATTTCTAGAAGAGCGCTCCATTCAGGTACGATTTTCGAAACTTATCTAAAAAATTCCCTACTATTTTCTGAAGTGTAATTTTTCATCTTTTACTCCTTATGTTAGGCTAACTTTCGAAGAAAAAGAAAAACCGAAAATTTTCGGATTCAAAAATGAGATGGAAAGAAGAACAAGAAAAATTCTCACCGAGTTCGTTCAACTGCATCTAAAATTTTCGGAAAAATAACAGTGAAGCCCTTGTAATTTCGAAAAGCCTTCAGTTCCCCTAGGATGACCGAACAGATGCAACTTTTATAGTGCTGCTTAGAATACATTTCTAGAGATCTAAAAGTACTCTGGATAGCATAAAAAGACTTTTCAATGCGTTTAGGAGGAAACCGTCGTTGGGTGCCCCTGATTCGGGGGCACACAGTCAGCGACTTTTTTTCTGTAAAAGGACTATTCGAAGGGGCAAACTATTGGAGACAAATAAACTAACTTCCGAGTTAGGATTTCGAGTTAGATTTCGAGCTGGATTTTCGAGATAGGAATTTGAGTTGGATTTTCGAGTTAGGATTTCGATTTGGATTTTCGAGTTGGATTTTCGAGTGAGGATTTCGAGTTGGATTTCGAGTAAGGATGTAGAGTTGTTGTTGTTTTTTTTTCGA